ACTTCTGAGGCGTGTGCAAAGTTGCGTGAGTTTTCGGGCATGTTTAGCCCCTCAAAACCGCGATTCATTCCGGAGGAGAATAATAATAATAATAATAATAATAATAATTAAAGCTGCAAGCAGCGATGATAGGGACCTCGCACCCAGGCTCACCGCCGCCCGGTAGCCTCAGGATAACAGAGAACAGCGAACAATATTAATTTCAGCCGATATATATAAAGAACCTGAGAAAAATCACAGATTTATGCAAAACTTCCTCCTGTCAGCAGGTGGCGCTATAACTGTGACTCAAGATCAGCATGTAGATGTCTTTAGGAGAGGCATCTCATCTAACCTGTGAATTTTCAGGCAGATCGGACATTGTTTGGCTGAGTTATAAGCCAAACTACCTTCTGCTATCAGGTGGCGCTATGACTGTGACTCAATATTGTTATGTGAATGTGTTCAGGGGAGGACTTTTATCAACCATGTGAAGTTTCAGGCTGATCGGACTTTGTGTGGTTGAGTTATGAGGACTTCCTGTTCCATGGCGAAGCGTTGAGGTTTGTCATGCTGCCACAGACACGCCCTTCTGTGAAAATTTCAGACCCTAACAAAATGTAATTGCTAGAACTTTCAGATAACAACCAACCAAACTTGGAGCTGATACGAAAAATTTTGTGGGAGGAGTTTATTACTCTGTAAATCATGACATTTCTTGTGGCCAGCAGGTGGCGCTGTAACTGTATCTGGATATTGGCATGTAAATGTGTTCAGGTCAGGACTCTTATTAAACATGTGAATTTTGAGGCAGATCAGATAATGCATGCCTGAGTTATAATGACTTCCGATTTTGTGGCGAATCGTCAAAGTTTGCGAGGCCGCCACGGACACGCCCATTGACAAAAACTCTAAAGCTTCACAATTTAACATCGCCAAGGCCTTTAGATGACAAAACCTAATTTTGGTGTCGATCAGATAAAATCCCTAGGAGGAGTTCGTTAAAATACAACGCCTGGAAATGGCAAAAATGCCACTTATTTGCCGCAGGAAGTTAAAAATATCCGACTTCTTGTTGGGTTTGAGATATGGCTCCAAGAGACTTTTTCGTATGTTTTGGCGTGGTTGAGGTGTGTGCCAATTTTCGTGCATGTGCGTGATTCGTAGATCAGGGGCTCGTCCGTTTAATTTTTATAGGTGGCGCTGTCGAGTCATTTTGCCACGCCCACTTCACTATTGTTATGGGGATGTGTTCGGGAAAGGACTTTTATCAAGCATGTGAAGTTTTAGGCTGATCGGACTTGGTGTGGTTGAGTTATAAGGACTTCCTGTTCCATGGCGAAGCGTTGAGGTTTGTCATGCCGCCACAAACACGCCCCTCTGCGAAAACTCTAGATCTTCACAATATATCATCGCTAGAGCTTTCAGATAACACCACTCAAATTTGGTGCTGGTACAATAAAGTTTGTGGGAGGAGTTTGTCACACTGTAAAACATGTCATTTCCTGTGGCCAGCAGGTGGCGCTATAACTGTATCTGGATATTGGCATGTAAACGTGTTCAGGTCAGGACGCTTATCAAGCGTGTGAATTTTGAGGCAGATCGGATAATGTATCACTGAGTTATAATGACTTCCTGTTTTGTGGCGAATTGTCAAAGTTTGCGAAGCCGCCACGGACACGCCCATCGACGAAAACTCTAAAGCTTCGCAATTTAACATCGCCAAGGCCTTTAGATGACAAAACCTAATTTTGGTGTTGATCGGATAAAATCCCTAGGAGGAGTTCGTTAAAATACAACGCCTGGAAATGGCAAAAATGCCACTTTTTCGCTGCAGGAAGTTAAAAATATCTGACTTCCTGTTGGATTTGAGATATGGCTCCAAGAGACTTTTTCGTATGTTTTGGCATGTTTGAGGTGTGTGCCAATTTTCGTGCATGTGCGTGATTCGTGGATCGGGGGCTCGTCCGTTTAATTTTTCTAGGTGGCGCTGTCGAGTCATTTTGCCACGCCCACTTCCGAGACCCATAATAAACGTAAATTTTCGCCACTTCTGAGGCGTGTGCAAAGTTCCGTGAGTTTTCGGGCATGTTTAGCCCCTCAAAATCGCGATTCATTCCGGAAAAGAATAATAATAATAATAATAATAATAATAATAATTAAAGCTGCAAGCAGCGATGATAGGGACCTCGCACCCGGGCTCACCGCCGCTCGGTGGCCTCAGGATGACAGAGAACAGCGAACAACATTAATTTAAGCCGATATATATAAATAACCAGAGAAAATTACAGATTTATGCTGAACGTCCTCCTGTCAGCAGGTGGCGCTATAATTGTGACTAAAGATTGTTATGTAGATGCCTTCAGTAGAAGAGTCTTATCAACCGTGTGATTTTTCAGGCAGATCGGACATTGTTTGGCTGAGTTATAAGCCAAACTACCTTCTGCCAGCAGGTGGCGCTATGACTGACTCAATTATGTTATGTGGATGTGTTCAGGAGAGGAATTTAATCAACCATTTGAAGTTTCAGGCAGATCAGAGATTGTGTGGCTGAGTTATAAGCCAAACTACCATCTGCCAGCAGGTGGCACTATGACAGATTCAATATTGGCTTTTAAATGTCTTCAGAAGAGGAATTTAATCAACCATGTGTAGTTTCAGGCAGATCAGACATTGTGTGGTTAAGTTATAAGGTAAAATTCCTTCTGTCAGCAGGTGGCGCTATGACTGTGACTCAATATAGGTATGGGGATATGTTCAAGAGGGGAATTTAATCAACCATGTGAAGTTTCAGGCAGATCGGACATTGTGTGGTTGAGGTATAAGGACTTCCTGTTTCATAGCGAAGCGTTGAGGTTTGTCATGCCACTACATACACGCCCCTCCGCAAAAACTCTAGATCTTCACAATATATATCATCGCTTGAGCTTTCAGATAAAAACCAATTAAATTTAGTGCTGATACGAAAAAAATTTGTGGGAGGAGTTTATTACTCTGTAAATCATGTAATTTCCTGTGGCCAGCAGGTGGCGCTATAACTGTATCTGGATATTGGCATGTGAACGTGTTCTGGTCTGGACTCTTATTAAACGTGTGGATTTTAAGGCAGATCGGATAATGCATGCCTGAGTTATAATGACTTCCGGTTTTGTGGCGAATCATCAAAGTTTGCGAGGCCGCCACGGACACGCCCATCGACAAAAACTCTAAAGCTTCGCAATTTAACATCGCCAATGCCTTTAGATGACAAAACCCAATTTTGGTGTCGATAGCATAAAATCCCTAGGAGGAGTTCGTTAAGATGCAACGCCTGGAAATGGCAAAAATGCCACTTATTTGCCGCAGGAAGTTAAAAATATCCGACTTCCTGTTGGGTTTGAGATATGGCTCCAAGAGACTTTTTCGTATGTTTTGCCGTGTTTGAGGTGTGTGACAATTTTCGTGCATGTGCGTGATTCGTAGATCAGGGGCTTGTCCGTTTAATTTTTCTAGGTGGCGCTGTCGAGTCATTTTGCCATGCCCACTTCATTATTGTTATGGGGATGTGTTCAGGAGAGGACTTTTATCAACCATGTGAAGTTTCAGGCAGATCGGACTTTGTGTGGTTGAGTTATAAGGTCTTCTTATTCCATGGCGAAGCGTTGAGGTTTGTCATGCCGCCACGGACACGCCCCTCTGCCAAAACTGTAGATCTTCACAATATATCATCGCTAGAGCTTTCAGATAACACAACCCAAATTTGGTGCTGATACGAAAAAATTTGTGGTAGGAGTTTATTACTCTGTAAATCATTTCATTTCCTGTGGCCAGCAGGTGGCGCTATATCTGTATATAGATATCGGCATGTAAACGTGTTCAGGTCAGGACTCTTATCAAGCGTGTGAATTTTGAGGCAGATCTGATAATGCATGCCTGAGTTATATCGACTTCCTGTTTTGTGGCGAATCGTCAAACTTTGCGAGGCCGCCACGGACACGCCCATCGATGAAAACTCTAAAGCTTCGCAATTTAACATCGCCAAGGCCTTTAGATGACAAAAACCAATTTTGGTGTCGATCGGATAAAATCCCTAGGAGGAGTTCGTTAAAATACAACGCCTGGAAATGGCAAAAACGCCACTTTTTCGCCGCAGGAAGTCAAAAATATCCGACTTCCTGTTGGGTTTGAGATATGGCTCCAAGAGACTTTTTCGTATGTTTTGGCATGTTTGAGGTGTGTGCCATTTTTCGTGCATGTGCGTGATTCGTAGATCGGGGGCTCGTCCGTTTAATTTTTCTAGGTGGCGCTGTCGAGTCATTTTGCCACACCCACTACCGAGACCCATAATAAACATAAATTTTCGCCACTTCTGAGGCGTGTGCAAAGTTCCGTGAGTTTTCGGGCATGTTTAGCCCCTCAAAATCGCGATTCATTCCGGAGGAGAATAATAATAATAATAATAATAATAATAATAATAATAAACGGAGCAATTCCAATAGGGCCTACGCACCGTTTCGGTGCTCGGTCCCTAATAATAATAAACGGAGCAATTCCAATAGGGCCTACGCACCGTTTCGGTGCTCGGTCCCTAATAATAAACGGAGCAATTCCAATAGGGCCTTGCACCGTTCGGTGCTCGGTCCCTAAAAACCGAGCAATTCCAATAGGGCCTACGCACCGTTTCGGTGCTCGGTCCCTAATAAGCAATGCTTTATGGTTTTCTGAGGAGTCTTAACCATTTTCAGGTACAGTAATCTAATAACTCAATATTAAATAATGCCTTTGTTGTATAAATAAGTCTATTAAATTAATCTTTATTTATATTTTGTAATGCCTGAGTGCTTCAAAAATCCTCATACAGTCATAGGCCTCAAAAACACATGCAAATAATTAACTGTAATCCAGCCACAACATTGCAGACTATTGTGAATGATCACATTATGATATCGATGCTGAAACGATATATCGTGCAGCCCTAAGTTACACTCTATCTTAAAATAAATAAATTGGGCAGTAACCTCTATCTTGTGTTTTCCTCACAGCAAGGACATTTAACTCTAGAGGACTATCAGATATGGAGTGTGAAAAGTGCCCTCGCCAATGAGTTCCTCAACTTGCTGTTTCAGGTCAGGATGTTGGCACAATGCAACCAAATCAAAAGTGCCTAAATCCTTCCAAATCCTTCCACACAAATGTGAATCCAGTGAAGTACGCTGCTAACTTGGATCTCGCCTTAAATGTCTTGTTAATCTGTTCGTCATCAGGTGTGTCATATTGTCCTGGGCCTGCGTCCTGCCACCCCTGAAGAGGAAGGCCAGATCATTAGGTGAGAAAACTGTAGGATGCGGCGATTCTGAAAGTCGGCTTCCTTTCAAAAGCGTCCCTACGGAGCACTTTCTGTGTTTTAAAACAAGGCTTGTGAAGGCTGTATTGTATTTCACTCCTCCTCATGATTAGGATCTGTCTGTTTATAAGGATCCATAGTACCTCCCGTTGCCTCTATCAGTGTTTTCGAAAAGGCAGAGATGGAGAACACAATTTCATTTTCAATTAGGTTTTCCAGCAGTACTGACGGTGCTCAAAAAGACACTATAAATACTGTACCGCATCAGCGTGTCAGGTTTATTGCTTTGGCTATTCTGCCCAAGTCTATTATTGATGCCTTATGACAGTAGAAATGTTTTGTTGGTTCATTTTTGGTGCTCTGTGTAAATGATAGCTCTTTGACTGACTGAATGTGTATCTATGCTGATTTTTGTGTGCCTGCACAGGGGTTGGTTGGAGAGGGAAAGCAGGCACGGTTTACAGCCCAGTCAAAACTGGTTCCTGATCTCCATGCAGTGGTGGCAGCAATGGAAAGACTATGTCAGATATGTGAGTATTCTTTATATAGCAAGGAAAAGTGATCATGTCATGATAGATTAGCCTTCCTTTTACTTTTCTTGAAGGCCATTGATTATACTATTCATAAACACAACAGCCTAAAACAGAACTATGACCTTTCTTTAAAGCAAAGTTGTGAATATAATGAAAAAGACTTAAATGTAATGTTATGCGTTTAATGTGAAGCGGCGCTGACAGCGGAGTGCAGATCCAAACACAGATTTATTAAACTGAATGGTCAGGCAAGCAACAGTCAACACAGGAGCAAACAGATGTATACGGGAAATCCAGAGTCATGGTCAATACACAGGCGAATGGTCAAAAGGCAGGCTGCATACAACATAGACAAACAATGCGGGGGTCAAAAACAGGGCAAAGCAAGGCAACGGGAAACGCATTGTAATGTTCACAGTGACAGTATAACAAGACTCAGCAACTAGTGTGTGTGTCTGTGCTGCTTTTGAAGTCTGTCTAATCAGTCTTTGAACAGCTCCCAGCTGTGTGAGTGTAATCAATCATGATCTGGAACAGGTGTGTGTGTGTGTGTGTGTGTGTGTGTGTGTGTGTGTGTGTGTGTGTGTGTGTGTGTGTGTGTGTGTGTGTGAGTGTGTGTGAGTGTGTGAGTGAGTGAGTGAGTGAGTGAGTGAGTGAGTGAGTGAGTGAGTGAGTGAGTGTGTGAGTGAGTGAGTGAGTGAGTGAGTGAGTGAGTGAGTGAGTGAGTGATGCATGACTGGAACTTGTAGTCCATATAATGGCAGATTTTTAATTCTATGCAATCTGTGTGTTAACTAGCGATCTGTAAGGATGAGATTACTTGTGATTGTGACAATATGAGCCCTTTATAGTGTAAAATTATTAGACCTGAAATTTTTATTTTTACAGACATTAGATGTTCACAAATTAGTACAGTAGTGAAATGTTTTATTATTTTTTTCTTTTCTTTTAGTAATGCAGAACATATGGAACAAAATTTAATAATAATAACCAATAACAATATTTAACCAGGTAAGTCAGTTGAGAACCAGTTCTCATTTACAATGACGAGCTGACCAAGACATACATAAAAAGCAGATACGAAGCAGCAGTCACACTATACAATAACAATTTCACACATATAGATAGTGACATATTAAACCAAGGAAAACTAAAAACAAGCACAGTGATCTTGTACTATTAACTGGATTGAGTTTTTAAAGGATGAAAGTGTAATGAAAGTGTTGCGCTTTAAGGTCTGTTGCAGATGATTCCAAGAATCAGTAGCAGAAAACTGAAAATAGTAGCCACCAAATGAAGTGTGAACTTTGGTTATACAAAGGTTAAAAAATCTACTAGAGCGCAGATTTCGACATGTTTTCTGAATGTTAAGAAGTGACCGTAAATATAGTGGAGTTTTCCCAATAAGAGTTTTGCAAATTAAAATAAACCAATGAATTTGTAGATGTGATTGAAGAGAAGGCCAATTAAAAAAGGAATAAAGTTGACAGTGATGAGTATCAAATTCCGCACCAGTAGCAAAACAAATTGCTTCATGGTAAATAGCATCCAGTTTGTGAAGGAGAGTTTTTGAAGCTGATATATAAATTAAATCCCCATAATCCAAAATTGTTAATACTGTCAATTTGACCAAATGGTGCTTTGAATTTTTTCATATGTAATCTGTTGTGTTCCAGGATAATAAGTCGATTGTCATGGAGCAGCCATCAGTGCAGGGCAGCGGGATGAGAAGTTCTCAGTCTGCTGCATCTGTAGAGCCTATCCTCAACAGAATTGGATTAGTGGTTCGCTCCCCCAGTTCCCCAGAAGAAAAATTCCCTGACAACATCTCCAGCTCATCAGAGGCTTCAGAGAGCACTGGTAATAGTAAGTACTTTCTCTGTCGCTAGAGTTAGGAGTACAAATTAAAGCTTTCAGTATGTTTTTTTTTTTTTTTAAAGAAATGAATATAGTGTTGCAATGAGTATAGTTGTTGCAAAATAATAAAAAGGAGGGGTGAAATCACCTGAGTTTTCTGAGAGAGAGAACAAAATGGGAGATGGATCTGAAATATGGGAAACTCCCAGGAATTTTGGCAGGTATTAATACTCATTAATACCTGGGTTGCCATCACCCTGTGCTAATGCACATTTTGAGAAAAATTGCATGAGAAAAGAGTGATGGAAACACCAGATTTTCCTATTTTGTTTTTATTATTTCATGTTTATTGTTAACACTCATTTGCATACAATCACACAATATTCCAAGTTACATTTGGACCTCAGTATGAGAAATGACATACAATTGCCATACATTATTGCCAGGTGTACTAAGTATGCATAGTACTCAAATTCATCTATTCATATTCTTTTTGGCTTAGTCCCTTTATTAATCAAGGGTCGCCACAGCAGAATGAACCGCCAACTTATCCAGCATATGTTTTACATAGCAGATGCCCTTCCAGCTGCAACCTATCACTGGAAAACACCATGCACTCTCATTCACACACATACACTAAAGCCAATTAAGCTTACCCAATTCACCTAAAGAACATGTCAGTTTTTTTTTTGTTGTTTTTTTTTTAAAGAAAATTATTCTCTTCATCAAGACACTATTTATTAAATGTAAATGTTTCCTCTGGGTCCTCCGGTTTCACCCACAGTACAAAGACATGTGGTTCAGGTGAATTGAGTACAGACAAAATGGTCCATAGTGTACAGTATGTGTGTGAATGAGTGTGTATGTATGTTTCCCATTGATGGGTTCGGCTGGAAAGGCATTCGCTGCATAAAGCATATATGCTGGATAAGTTGGCGTTTCGTTCTGCTGTGGCAACCCCAGATTAATAAAGGGACTAAGCCGAAAATGAATGAATGAATGAATGGTCACTCATCGCCAAGGGGTTTCACAGCTATTTTAGTGTCTTTCTTTTGTGTTGAACACAAAAAAAAATAAAAAATTAAGTAAATTGGAAACCTGTAACCTGACTTCCAGTGCACCAGAATATTTTCTTTTGTGTTCAATGACAGAACTTCAACTTTTGGGTGAACAATCCTTTTTAAGGCAGGGTCACTATTATAAGATAAAAATTGATGAATACATAGCTAAAGAAAAGTGATTAAAATCAATGTTCTAGTAAAATAAAGTGACATAATTGAGGCTATAATAAGACCGTCTTTAATTAAAGTGTATTTTTTTTACTTCCTCAGGCCTAACCCCACACATCAGCTCCTCTGCCACAGACGTGTGCTTTGCTCGGCAGCACAACATCTCTGACAACAACAACCAGTGTTTCTCAAGCGCCAATGGCCATTTGCCTAACAGCTTGGCCGTGCAGAGACCCGGTGCGATAGACAACCAGCCTCTGGTGACCACCGAGCCCATGAAGGTGAGCCGTAGCAACTGAAACCATTGAAATATGAAATGTCAGCCCTAGTGCATTTAAAAGTCCTGCAGGCAAAATAACACCTTCGAGTTGTGTTTTCTTTTATCTAATTATAGCTGCAGAGCTCAACACTACATTAAAGTGCCATTTTTTGAAATTGAAATCGTCTGGAACAAATTAATCCTCTGAATGGTCTGTAGCATTTGTGTTCGAGAAAATGAAAGTCTTTATGAGAAGCTAAAAGCATTATGACTAAAACTGCTTGCTTCAGTAATGCCTTGTCACAAACACATTTGCACTCTTGTATTAATGTAACACGCCGTATTATCATTCAAATCGTTCTTTGATACGACGCATAGCAGTATTGAAGCCAAAAAGCACATTTTCGGTCCTTTCCACCCCTTCATCCAAACTCTAGCTCTCATTTGTGTCATTTGACCACATGTGTCAAACTGCAAGAGCCCTCCCCTGCAAGAGTGAAGGAGGTCTGATGATATTTGACTTTTGTTTTACTTTGATGGAATAATGAGGGTTTACCTGATCAACCTGATGAAATGATTCATGTTAAAATAACCCAGAGAAGTAACATCTTTTTTTACATTTAAGCAAATACATGTATTTATTTGTTACTTTAATAAGTTATAATGAAATAAAGAGACAGTTATTTAATATGGTAATGATATGTAACCTTTTTACAGTCTTTTCCGGCCCATCCAGGGCAGCTATAATGCTAAATTGGCCTTCTGTGAAAATTGGTTTGTCGCCCCTTATTAGAGGGACGTTCACATTGCCTGTGATTTATTTAGTAAAGGAAGTTGTCATTGCACAGGTCTATCAGTATGAACTCCTCTTGAGTGTGTGTCTATGTTTTATCCAGGCACCCACGCTGACTATGGAAGGAGGTCGACTGAAGAAGTCCCATCAACTGTTGTCTGGCCGGGAGTTTGAGACGGTTCCAGAGCCGGTGTGGAGAGCACTTTACCACTGGTATGGGGCCAACCTTAGTCTGCCCCGACCGGTATGTATCCCAAATCCCATCAATGGCACCAACATGGGCATGTAATTTATGCTTCAGTGAATCTCAGTTCTTTGGCTTTTCCTTTGACGCACAATGTTCTTGATGGCGTGACGCATGGTGTCAAGTGAACGCTGTTGGATATTTCTAAACCTGTTTCCTGAATACAGATTGCGCTTCTGTGCAGGGGTGTTGCTAGACATAAAGCTCAATTGGGTCACAGCTCCCCTCAAAAGAAATAAATAAATAAATTGCATATATATATATATATATATATATATATATATATATATATATATATATATATTGTTTTTGTTGTTTTATGTGATGTATTTGTTTGCTATATGTAATACAGTCGTAAATAAGAAATGAACATAAAAAGAGCTTTAAAATCTAAAAATGCTGTAGATGTCAATCTGGCCATTTAGCTTTTCATTTTTATTCAGCTAAATAAAGCTAATCAGGTGGCACCCTGTAGTGTTTTAAAAGCATGCATCTCTCTCTCTTGAGCACTTATACTGTCTATTTTACTGTTTCTTCAGGTTATCAAGTCTACAGTCAAGGCACAGCCTGAGCTAGAGCTCTTCCCCCTTTACCTTCTGTTCCTGCGACAGCAACCGGCCACACGGAGCCCTCAGTCCAACATCTGGGTCAATATGGGTATGAGCAGCCTGCGAATGTTCCCTCCGCATATGCCCCGAGGTAACGTAAGCCAGCAGCAAGAGAGAGGCTTCGTCCCCTGCCTCCACCAGCACCCCTAATCTTCTAAATACACCTACCAGAATGACCTGTCCGGATTACTCCTCATCCCAACGCCTTCATCTTCTGAGTTCAGCCTTAGATTTAAAATATATATATATATATATTATATATTTATAGCATACAAATTTTTTAAATGAGATTTTACAGCAAAATGAGCATTTACTTAACCTCAACAACCTTTACGAAATTCTGCTTTTCTGATGAACACAAAGGAAGATGTTTTAAGAAGGATGAAAACTTGTAGTCATTGACATTCATAGTAGGAAAAAGAAAAACTGCTGAAGTCCACATTAAAATATTCGATAAAATACCATATTTTGTGTTCAACAGAAAAAAGAAACTCAAACTGTTTTAGAGAAATTGGAGGCAGAGCTCAATGACAGGTTTTTTACAGTTTTGGGTAAACTATCCCTTTGTGACCGAAATATGAAAAAATGTACATTAAATGTTGTGAGAGGACAACACTGACCTATTACTAGCCTTATTTTTTGAGTCCTAAAAATTAGTTGATGGTAATCTACAGTAATTTAAGGTCTTGTTCGGCACAGTGAGACTAGAAATATTGTATATCTCTCAGTCATGGCTGTGAGGCTCAGAAGACTGTTTGATGCGGGTAAAGATGGAAGTTCTCTGGCTGATTTCCTGTAATCGTTTGCTTTGCAATCATATCAATCTTTTTTTTTTTTTGTCTCAAATAATCATGTCTCTTATGAAATCAGTAAGTGCTACACAAATCTTTAAATGTATTTTCTTTTTGGACTAATTAAAAACATTTTGCTTGATTTTTATTTACATTACCCAGACTAATGAATTGATGAATGTTCCCTATGAAAATGACCTTTGCCCTTTCTTGCTGCTACCTTACAACTAATCCTCAGTCTGTCGATCAGGTATTGGGATGTGTGTGTGTGTGTGTGTGTGTGCGTGTGTACATATTGATCTGTTTTCTGCTTGTCACTGGTTGATTTAATAGTGTGCATATAATGATTTATATATGGACTGGATCTTCACAGTCTTGTTTTAAAAACTGCTTGACTACTTTAGGTAAAATAAATCTTTTTACATGGTTTAAAAAAGTTTGTTTTTAAATATATAATAACAAAGCAAGGTGTAAATGCTTTAAGGGGTATATTTGAATTTTGTAAACGTTTTATTGCATGTCACAAAGAGAATGCTGATGACTGCTCTTCTTTCCGAACACAGGTAATGTTCCTTCTCCCAACGCCCCGCTCAAGCGAGTGCTGGCATACACAGGCTGTTTCAGCAGAATGTGCACCATTAAAGACATTCACGAGTACCTGTCCCAGAGGTTACGCATCAAAGAAGAGGACATGCGCCTCTGGCTTTACAACAGCGAGGTGGGGACCTCTTTAAGAGATACTGGATTAAAGAATATCAAGAGCCATTCAAATGCAAATATGTCCTCATTATAAAGACGCCAGTGTTACAGCAGTGATCTTTGAGGAAATACTTCAAAATGAAACCTACTTTCTGGATCATCCATTTTTGTGGCCAATATGATTTATCTGTTTTTATTGATTTATTTATTTATTTATTTACATCACAGCCAACATGAACAATCTTTTGTCAATGATGGCTGGCATTCGGAGGGTAGCATTTTAATTCTAGAGATCATTTGATTGGACAAAAATCTGTGTAGTGCAAGAAGACTCATTAATATTTGAGCATTTTGCATATATGGTATTATTCAACAGTTTGAAGTTGGAATATTTTTGTTGCATTGCCTTATGCCAAGTTTTTTAATCTATATGACTATAAAAAGCAATCATATCTAAAACATTTTGATCTTTTATGGCATACAAAGCTGATTTGTTGGCAGTGATTACTTTAAAAATGTTTTCAACAATATAAAATACCTTGTCACTTTTAATTCATAAATAATGATATACTGTAGGTACAAATAGTTTTTGTAGATGGATACAACTAAAACCATAGGCCACAATATTTGTCTTTTAATTAAAGTGTTAATAATGTAAAGTGGGTTCATTTATATTGTGCGCTAATCTTGTTTTAAATTGTCTTCATATCAGAATTACCTCACTCTCCTGGACGATGAAGATCACACTTTAGAAAGCTTGAAAATTCCAGATGAACAGCACTTAGTCATTGAGGGTATGTCTGTGACATTTATCTGTCTTAATTAAAGTCTTATCTCTTTACACATGCGCTGAGCATTGTGGATTAAATTGCACAGCATGCACCATTTTACTGATGGACAAGGAAGAATTCATCAAATATCTTTCCCTTTCTCTAGTTCGAAACAAAGATATGAGCTGGCCAGAGGAAATGTCTTTCATTGCAAACAGCAGCAAAATCGACAGACACAAAGGTAAAAGGGCTCAGAAGTGTTGAAAAAAAATCTATGCAAATTGGAAGGTGGCCAAGCCGTCTATAAATGTCAGAATATTTACCCGAGTTTGACCTTGCCTAGATGGCGCTATATTACAATTCTTTGTATTAAAGCGCATCAAGTAGATTATTAACACAGGAACAAAAGCAGCAAGAGTCCAAGAAGCAATTACATAACAAAGCCATTTAAAAGTCATATCAAGACGGATATCAGCTCTGACATTTTAGAGCTCAAAATGTTGCCAGAAAGCTTTCTGAAATACTGAGTTATTGAAATTCATGGAGATGGTACTTAGGTGGTAGTGCCTGTGAAGTCATGACTTTTATTTTACCCCATTTCTCTTGCAGTTCCTACTGAGAAAGGTGCCACAGGTTTGAGTAATCTGGGCAACACGTGCTTCATGAACTCCAGTATTCAGTGTGTAAGCAATACCAAGCCCCTCACTGAGTACTTCATCTCAGGGCGACACCTTTATGAGCTTAATAGGTAAGGAAACACAACCAATGTTCTTTTTAAACTCAAACATTTAGAGCAATGGTCTCAAACTCAATTCCTGAAGGGCCGCAGCTCTGCATAGTTTAACTCCAACCACCTCCAACTCACACTAGCTTAATAGTCTATAGTAGTCTTGAATTATGATTATTTAAATCAGTTGTGTTTGATTACAGTTAGAGCAAAACTGTGCAGAGCTGTGGCCCTCCAGGAATCTAGTTTGAGGCCTATGATTCACAGCAAAAAAGTTTCCCATACATATTTCACTTTTGTTTCAAATTGGTTAAACCCCAACTAATCTCACTCGAGACCAGAGCTTCAGTCTCACTCTTTTATTGGCCAAAGACTTCCTAAAGGCTAAAGCAGCCAGTGAGTAGAAATCCTGTATGATTTATTCAATCAGATGATCACCTCGAAACTCCCAAAGTGTTTTTAAATTTGTGTCATGTGCATCAGACATTCAGCCAGCAATGTATGGGTGTAACAATGAGGGCTGAGATTAAACCATGACCAACATTACAGTTCTTGGTTAAAAAGTTACCTCCGTTCATGAGGTACTTTATGCAGATTCACTTGTAAGATATCGTTTAAATTTGCGCAGATTTAGGAAAGTGAATTAGGCAACCTTTTCGGAGTAGCAGTCATCTGTTATACCCTTTGACCAATGATCTTTCTTACCCTGACAGAACTAATCCAATAGGAATGCGTGGTCACATGGCCAAATGCTATGGTGATTTGGTACAGGAACTATGGAGCGGCACTCAAAAGAATGTTGCGCCTTTGAAACTTAGGGTGGGTTGTTAATGTCTTAGTAATCATAAGAACCAAACCAAAGTTTGTCACTTTGTAAATCATTTTGTTAAATCTTTTTTGTAGTGGACGATAGCAAAGTACGCGCCAAGATTCAATGGCTTCCAGCAGCAAGACTCCCAGGAGCTTTTGGCCTTCCTGTTGGATGGGCTTCATGAAGACTTGAATCGTGTGCATGAGAAGCCGTATGTGGAGCTCAAGGACAGTGATGGACGGCCGGACCATGAGGTTGCTACAGAGGTCAGTTTCAAACTTTTGTTTTTCAGCCCATGCCAGGCTCAACATATTATCTAAGCACTTCTAAATGGGCACACTGATGATACGCTAATGAAAAATCAGCATCTTTACAACCTGAAGACATCTGCCTCTTCTTTTCAGGCCTGGGAAAACCATTTGCGGAGAAATCGCTCTATCGTGGTGGACCTCTTCCATGGGCAGCTCAGATCCCAGGTGAAGTGCAAGACCTGTGGCCACATAAGCGCACGCTTCGACCCCTTTAACTTCCTATCGCTGCCTCTGCCAATGGACAGCTCCATGCACTTAGAAATCACAGGTGAAGCCAAGCAGAGGGAAAACACTTTAAAACACATCAGCAGATATCAGAGTCTTACCTAAAAGCTTTTCTTGGTTTGCAGTCATCAAACTTGACGGCTCCACTCCAGTGCGATACGGGCTCCGTCTCAACATGGATGAGAAGTACATGGGGCTAAAAAAACAGCTGAGCGAGCTCTGTAGCCTGAAACCTGAGCAGATCCTACTGGCCGAAGTTCACACGTCCAACATCAAGGTCAGTTCAACTCACCACAACAGACAATAGCTGCATTTGCGAAGAAACCTATTGGGATTCACTGTATCGAAAAACCTAAACAGATAAATAATTAAATAATTGCCTATGACATTAAACAAACAGCAATCTTACAAATCTACTGCACCATTAACGTGACTTAAAACAATAAATTCACATGATCTGATCTGCTCATCTAATGTATGAACATCACAATTGAATTGAGCAGATTATAAAAATATATATTATGTTGGTTATGTTGCTTTTTTGACTACATTTGAGTCTCTTTTTTTGTCAATGATATTGCATGTTAATATAGTCACTGTTAGTATCCAATGCGACCGATGTAATTGTGTCTTTGTCTCAGAAAAAAACAGGTTGTCAATGATTTTTTTTTTTGCCAATATTAACAAAAACTTCCTTCTTTCATCTTCGCACAATTGCACGGACTACACCATTTCTCTCACAACCTGATGCGGAGAGGCTAATCCATGGCTATATCACATCACATCTTGATTTTTGTAATTTACTTTTTGGGGGTTTGCCTACAAGTTCTCTTAAAAGATTACAGTATATTCAAAATTCTGCTGCACTGGTTCTGACACACACATCATCCCGCCTCCATATTACTCCTGTACAACAACTACACTGGCTTCCTATTAAGTCACAGATTTTTTTAAGACCTCAATTTTAACCTTCAAAGCAGTGCATGGGCTAGCAACTTGTTACATTTGTGACCTAGTGACTGGTCACTCCTGCCCACAGTCTTCATTCGGCATCAGGACTTACCCTGTATCAGTCACGCTGTAAATTCAAGACCATAGGTGGCAGGGATTTCTCATACAGTGCAGCTAAGTCATAGAATGCACTGCCTATCAGCATTAGGAATGCCTCTTCTCTTGACTGTTTTAAGAAACTTTTTAAGACTCACCTTTTTAGCATTGCTTTTAACTTTTATCATTTTGTTAACCATTTTATTCTATCTAATGTCTGTTTTTATCGTTTTGTTGCACCTTTTTAGTTGTTGTGCTGTTTCTGCTATTGTGAGTATTTTGCCTTGTAGTGCTTTGAGTAAGAAAAGTGCTTTACAAATAAAATAATAATTTTTTTTATTATTGACTAAATGAACACTGCTAAAGTCCTTTTTTACAATGTGAATGAAAGTTAAATCAGATATGACCAATTTTGATTGTTTTGGTTACAAGACATTCTTTTTATATATATATATATACATATATATATATATATATATATATATATATATATATATATATTTTTTTTTTTTATTAGTTTTTGAGACATAGAAAAACAAGGAACAGACAAACAAACTCATCATGAAACAATAATCTGCGCAAAATGTCAAATAAAGCATTAAACAAGGGAAGACATACTGTATAAGACATATATGACCTACAAAAAGACACAGCAATGGATGTAAAAACAGAGAAAAAACTTACAAATCTTAATAAATTAAACAACATTATTAGTCTTTATAGTGTTTTAGGGGAAAAAAGACTGGATCCCACATTTTATCAAATTTCGCAGAGTTCCCAGAAGTGCTATATCTAATTCTTTCCAAATGTAAAGTGGAGGTGAGTCCAAGATGCTAGCAAGAAAAAAAGAGGCCTAACATTTTTTTTTTTCAAGAAACAAAGGATAGCTTTTTTAGCCATGATGAAAATACTGTACAACTGTACTGGACAGGTTACCATACATTTCGGTTGATGTAATTCTTTTATTGCCACCAATGTTTCCTCTAGTATTTATTCCAGCTGTGGCAGCAGACTCTGTTGGGCCTTTTACACAGATCTACCAACTACTCAAGATGGCATTCATGCAATACGAGTATGCAAATCTCTTTGCTTGTGCGCCGATTTTCTCTGTTCGTGCACATAACTTTTTGCACTTCCTCAAATATATGCTGCTCAAGTGCAGACTTTCTTGTGCGCTCTTAAATAAACACTGCTGAAGTGCGATTTAGTTCGTTTATGTAACAAGTATGTCGCCAACATTTATTAGATTTGCGGCATTAATGCGTCCTAAAGTAAAGTGAAATGGCTATAAACTCCAGCAAGATAAAGTCATTTTGTGCAGAACCATGGACCTTTATCTTTAAAATAGAATTATGGAAACTGTGTTTATCTTAACTGAAAGCTACGACGTGTTTGCTGGCCTACACATTGCGCAGCCCTGTCAGTCAATCAGTCAGCATGTCACCTTAAAGGGTAAACAAATAACGAACAGCACTACTAAGATTACAGAAACGTTCAAGCTGTTATAATTTGCTTACCTTTTAATACGTTATGGTGCAATTATAACCTGCTAATAAATGAAAAAAAATGACTGAAGGTTTTGAAGGAGAAGCTGTAATGTAGCCGTGGTGGGATGAATTTTGGGTGTGGTGCCCCGCCATGGAAGAATGAATGTAGCAGAAACCATGGCCACTGTTTTTTCAATTCAATTAAAAACTGATTATTAGTTATTACACAGTTTATGTAATGATTGTGTTAAGTACATTGTTTGTACATGCAAAACATAACTGTAAAATTCAGTAATCCTGGTTTTTAAATAAGTTGTTTTTTTACTCTAGAACTTTCCTCTGGATAACCAGAAGGTGCGACACTCTGTCAACGGCTTCCTCTGTGCGTTTGAGATCCCTGTGCCTGGTTCACCCACTTCAGTCACTTCTCCTGTTCAAACAGGTAACAAGGATTGAATTCTGAATTCTCTCATTAAAAGCGTAATTTTGCTTTATTTTGAACACTCTTTTTGTTGTTGACCCATCCATGTTGTCATTAGAAAAACCACCTATTGCCAATGGGACAGCAGGAAACAATCATATTGGAAAGTCTGGCCTGATTCCTAATGGTATGCCCAGTACAGTGGTCCCCTGCACCCTTGAGAAACCCCTCGCCAATGGTATCCCCAATGGCCATGCTGTGCCAGTGCAGGACAGCCCATTCATTGGCTACATTATTGCCATGCACAGAAAGATGGTGAGCATTCACTGATATATTCACTGTTGGACTTCACAAGATGGTCGTAAGCATCCTAAATGTGAGGTCTGTCCCTGCAGATGCGGACGGAACTGTACTTCCTGTCCTCTCAGAAGAACAGGCCCAGTCTGTTTGGTATGCCTCTGATTGTGCCATGCACAGTGCACACGAGTAAGAAGGACCTGTATGATGCTGTGTGGATTCAAGTGTCCCGACTTGCAAGTCCACTGCCGCCGCAGGAAGCCAGCAACCATGCTCAAGACTGGTCAGTGGCATCATGTTTGTTTGTTTGTTTGTTTTTTATTTTGTTGTTTATGTTTTTTTTATTTAAATAGATAGTATCAACTTAAGTGCATAAAAAAAAAAAAGATAACAAAAACAAAAAAGGTAAATACAATACACACAATACACTTTACTTTGAACTTGCGAAAGAAAATGTTTCAATTTTGTTGTGGAGCAAGGACTTGGTCTATATTTGACAATAAAACATGTTCTTGGATATATTTCTCAGTGGCATCATGTTGAGGATTGGTTTGGAATGTTTGGTTTTTGTCAGAATATGTTTGACTTGCACCCAAAGATGTATTTATAAAAATATATACATGTGAAGTGTTATTGATGTTTAAAATTAATATTTAAGGTTTTTAAATAGTTATGAGTAAGTCATTTATTTCATTTTTTAATTATTTATTTATTTATTTATTTAAGGATGAGCTCTGAATATTAATCTGGAGATCATAATTTTAGTTTTCTTTAAATAGACAGTTCCTGAAAAGAACATTAAAAAATATATCTTTTAAAATCATAAATGTCTGCGATTTTTTTTTTATTTAATTTTTTATTTTTTTTATTTATTTTTATTTTTTTATAAACAATATGAATCTTCACAAATCAGTGTATTAATTCATTTAAAATGAGCAAAATGTGAACTTTAGTAAACGTTATGATGAAAAAGATGTAATGAAAGTTGTGGTTTGAGTGGTAGGCCTTTTTAATGGAGTCATTTCCAGATCCCATTTCCCCTCACAATTAGTTCCCCTCCTTTCTCTATTGCCTGTGTTAATAAACATTGTAAAAAAAAATTGTTAAACACCAGGAAACATATGTTAGAGCCTTTATTAAAAAGTTTGTGCCTATTGAAACTGCAGCTATTTTGTTTTAAATTTTAACTAATCATTACAACTTATAATATCATCATGATATGATTACATTTCATAGTCCCTTAGTTTTCCTTAGTTTGGTTCACGTGGACAAATCTATTGCAGGATATAAATTTTACATCATAGCTTGTCTGTTTTTGTCTATTCTCTTCTGTTTTGACATGTTGTGCTCTTTTCCAGTGATGACAGTTTGGGCTATCAGTACCCCTTTACGCTGCGGGTGGTGCAGAAAGATGGTAACTCCTGTGCCTGGTGTCCCTGGTACAGGTTAGGCATTTAGTTTCAGCAGTTGTGTATTCACATATTTCACCGCAGTGTAGGCTGTCATGACTGACAAGGGTTGTCGGTGACTTTGCCAGGTTCTGCAGAGGCTGCACAGTGGACTGTAATGAAGACAGAGCATCTTTGGGGAATGCCTACATTGCTGTAGACTGGGATCCCACCGCCTTGCACCTTCGTTACCAGACGTCTCAGGAAAGGGTAAGTGTTATGAAGATGTTTAATGATTTTCAGGGTCAAAATCAACCCATTGATTAATACTTAAGTCAGTTCAAGGTCGGTTACTGTGCAAAGTCTTTCTGTACTGGATTCTGTTGCTGCACCGCAGGAATTGATGTGTCCCTTGAACACAATGATTACTCTGCCAGTGCTGTCATTTCCTGTGAAGAGATTAGTTTCCATCTCACATCCCAGCTGGGAAAGCCATTAAAATCATATCATATGATTAATTGTTTTCTGGGTCTGCTGCTTCTGTTTTACCTTGAGCAAGATCTCCTGATAAAGCCGCGAGCTGCTAATTATTATCTGTCGTTACTACTTGGCACTTTCTAAGCTGAAAGAGCTTTTGCAAATGCAAAGCAATTGCAAATTAGCTGTTTACAATTTGGAGATAACAAAATAAAATTTGCACCTTCTTTTATAGTGCATTTCAGACCAGATTTGTCCATTTTACCATCCATCTTACTAGAATGCATATAATGTTTAATTGTACATTAAAAATAAATAGTATTCTTAAAATCTAACCACATTCAGATTTAATTGAATCGTTACATAGTCCACAGCTCTGTTTCTAAGTAATTGTCATTCTGTTAATGTGGGTCCATTCATTGCTAATACAGATAGTTGAAGAGCATCCCAGTGTTGAGCAGAGTCGACGCGCTCAAGCAGAGCCCATCAGTCTGGACAGCTGTCTGAAAGCCTTCACCAGTGAAGAAGAGCTGGGAGAGGACGAGCTCTATTACTGCTCCAAGTGTAAAACACACCGCCTGGCCACTAAGAAGCTGGACCTCTGGAGGCTGCCTCCTGTACTGGTAAGAACAATAAATCCTTTGCAGGAACTGTATTAAAAATCCCACATTTCTCTTAAAAAGCCAACCTCTATTTTTATTAACAGTAGAAAGCTCATGCTGGTTAATTCCCAGAAGTAAACTTGCTATGTGCATTTGTGCATAGATTTGTTTTTCTGACCAAATGCACATTGTATGTGGTGAATCGGGGTGAATGAGCTTTCAGCTACTACGCACCTTACTGCTGGAATCAGCTTTCAGAAATGATCAGATGTGTTCCAACTTTTGGCACATTCAAATCAAGACTGAAAACACATCTGTTTAGCTGTGCCTTTACTGAATGAGCACTGTGCTACATCTGACAGATTGCACTGTTATATTTTTCTCTTCTGTTTCATTATTTTATAACACATTTTATCTGTTTTTATGTTTTTTACTCATTTTTATTATTTGTTTTAATTTTCTTATACTTGCTTCTTTTATTTTTGTTTATGTAAAGCACTTTGAATTGCCATTGTGTATGAAATGTACTATATAAATAAACTTGCCTTGCCTTGCCTGTGCTTGTGTGCATGTATGTGCACTGGAATAGTTTTAGTTTGTCCACAAGGTGGCAAAAACAAATCCGGATGTTGATTCAGTGACTTCAAAAATAACCACTGAACGTGACATATAAACAGCCACCCACGCTGACATGTGCTAGTGTGTTAGGATTAAAAATAACTGAACTTTGTTCTAAGCACACGCGCCTGTGTATAAAAAATGCAGTTAGCAGATGGCATATCTTATGAAAAACTGAATATGTACCATACAAATACACATTTACGGCTATTATGTTATTTAAGATATTGATAAAGAGACTGCTGTTGGCAAGTATAAAGTAAGCCATAATGCAAAAAATATGTGATTCATAAATATCTAAATAACTAGAGTATCATTATAGAATATCATTAAATAACTAGAGTATTAAGTATTTTTATTTGACAAGTCTCATACATCCTGATCCTCAAGCAGTATGAATAAAACTTTCAAAAAACATAAAATAGGTTTTAATAGGAAATAGGAAAATTATCCTGTAAAGTTCTATTCTGTAATGAATTATTTTTATTAAATATATATTTAAGAATATTTGAATACCATAAAGTGTGTATTTAAATTGATCAAATGTATTTAAAAATATATTAAATTATTATTATTAAATAATTATTAAATTATTTTGCTTTAGACAAAATCATTTTTAACTGAAATCTTTTCTCCGTTAATATTTATGATAAGCCAGATATTTGTATTTATCACAAAAAAACTTGAACTGTATGTCGTAGCAAGCTTCTCCTTCGAACATTAAGTGTCAATATCTTTATTTTCTGTGTTTCATTTCAGATTGTTCATTTGAAACGCTTCCAATTTGTAAATGGTCGATGGATCAAGTCTCAGAAGATTGTGAAGTTTCCACGCGAGAGCTTCGACCCCAGTGCGTTCCTTGCCCCACGGGAGGTGTCTCAGAGCCTTGGCAGCCTGCAGAGCCTGCAGAGCGAGTGCCTGGTGGAGGAGCTCCAGAGGCTGGAGAGAGGAGACTCCTCTGTGTCCTCCATCTCCACCACCACCTTGGCCAGTCCTCCCATATCTGGCAGAGGTCTGTCTCACTTCCTTTGCTTCTTGCATGACATTGGGGGAAATTATTCTGTGAAATTTTATTCTGCAATATACAGTTGAAGTCAGAATTATTAGCCCTCCTCTATCTTTGCCTCAATTTCTGTTTAATAAAGAGAAGATATTTTTAAACGCATTTCTAAACATAATAGTTTCAATAACTCATCTCTAATAACGGATTTATTTTATCTCTGCCATGGTGACAGTTCATAATATTTGACTAGATATTTTTCTGGACACACAAGGGTTAATAATTTTCACTTCAGCTGTATAATGTGATATGAATGCAACTTCTCTAGCAGGTTTCTGCGGGGTTTTAAAGTCTTAAAATGTCTTAAATCTCAAAAACAAAATTTTAGGGCTTAAAGTCTTAAATCGACTGGTCTCAATTTTCCTGTTAAAATTTATTTATTTTTCTTATTATTATTGTAGACTGAAGTAATTGCTTTGTTTTGTTCTATTCTTGGTAAGGATTATAGGGTTTATGAATGGAAATGTTTGAAAATAAAAATAAAATATTCAAACAAAATTATTATGATTGTATTATTAAATGTATACATATTTTTGATTAAAGTGAAAATCTTTTCAAAAAAAAAAAAAATCCTTAGTATTTAGCCTTGAATAAGTTTCAAATTTCATTCATAATGTTCTTAAAAATGTCAGAAAAAGTCTTAAATTTAACCAGATAAAACCTGCAGAGTTAATTGAAATGACTCGTTTTTATTTTATTTTTTTTTATTTATTGAGATTATTTTGTAGGGCAGTGCATCAGCATGAAAAAAAAACAAGTTGCAAGCATGGATAAAAAAAAAATAGCAAAGAAATAAATACAATAAATATTGCTTTGTGGGTTTCTGAGAAATCTGATTATTCAGTATAGAAATTAAATAATCAACTCAAGTAACACTGTATAGTATTCATATGTATACATAAATAGTTAAATACAATTAATATTAATAATAAAAATAATTGTGTTTTGTATAGCACTTTCATACTTGAAATGCAATCTAAGTGCTTCACAAGCATAAACTAATTTTAAAAAACAACATCAACAGTGAAATCAAAGCTTTAAATGATTTTAGCGAGTGTATATACAACAACAAGTGACACAAAGCAGCTATGAGCAAATATCAAAAGCAAAATATAACCAAATTCAATTAAAAGAAGTCCTAAAAAATAATAATAAACAATTAATCATTGTTAAAGCAAACTTTATCCTTTCTTGTGTATGAATTCAACTTTACAATGACTCCACAAATTGCATGTTCTCAGCTGTGGTGCCTGGTTAACTAAAATCCTGACATCAAAAATCCTGAGATGTGACCATTGCAGATGTGCACATTAGGATGATTGTGAAGTTCTAATATGAATCAACATTTGACAAGATTTTATTATTATTTTTTTTTATTGTTTATTTGACAAAAAAGTACAATACATTGCAGGTATTAAATGACAAAGGTAGTTTATTTTTTCCTTTTATTTTATTTTTTTAAACCATACACTAATTTAAGACAGAGACAAAAAAAAACATTAGAAAAATTTGTAAGAAAAATAAATACATTAAATAATAACATAAATAAATAAATAAACAAATAAATAAATAAATAAACAAAATAAATTGATTAATTAATTAATTAATTAAAAAAAACCTATGGGGGTTGGAGGAGGGAATGTTGAGGGGATTCATGGTTGGAGGAGTACATTAGTCTCAATATGAATTATTAAAGTGTCCCATGTTTTGAAAAAGTTTTGTTTGATCCTCTGAGAAAATTTTTGTTTTTTTTCTGTTTTCAAAAAAAACTCTTTTCTGTTTTTTGGTATCAGTTTAAAATCTCAAATTCTGAAGACCAAAATCGTCTCAGTTTATCACATGATCAGAACATATGGGTTAGGTCTGCCTTGCATGAGTTGCAACGATCGCATGTTTCATCTATATCGGGGTATATTTTAGCCAGTTTCGTTTTGCTCTAGTGAAAACGGTAAAGAATTTTCATCTGAATTAGATTAAGATGCGCAGATGATAAAGTCTTGTTTATAATTTCAACTGCTTTATCCCAAGTTTCTTCTGAAATATTAATTCCTAGTTCTTTTATTCATTCCATTTTAATCTTCTATAGTGTTATGTTACGAAATGTCATAATTAAGTTGTACATTTTGGAAATGAAACCCCCTGGGGGTGTACAGGGGTCTTTATAATCAAGTTCAGTCCAGATTCAGCAGTCATTTGATGAAATACAGAGCACTGGGTCTGAATAAAGTGACAAACCTGAAGCTATCGAAAAAAAGTCTCATTTTTGAAGATTGCATTTTTTAATCATGTCATTGAAATTGACAAAAATATTATCAATGAAAAAATCTCTACATATAAGTATGCCTAGGCCCTGCCATTAAAAGGAGCATCTAGCTTGGCTGCTGGAAAAAGATGATTATTACATATGGTTTCTAAAAAAAAAAAAAAGTTTGTGTATTAAAATGCTTGTCTAAATCCACTGGACCTGAGGAATATTGTGATGGTAAGAAAGGTGACTTCAATGTAATTAGTGCTGGTAGTGAAGTTGATTTGCAAGACTTAGCCTCTGCTTCACACCATGCCATATGTAGGAACTGTAACCAATAAATGATTTTCTGTATATTTGCTGCCCAATAGTAATTTAACAGATTTGGAAGAGCCAGTTCTCCATCTCCTTTGGGTCTTGACAAAATTTGTCTAAACGTTGTCTTTTAGCCACCCCGTGCTCCATCAGGAGGGTCGGCAGTCCCCTGAGCAGAAACAGCAGTCCCGGCAGCAGCCCCAGAAACACAGGCCGAAAACAGGGCCGCTTGCGTCTTCCCCAGCTGGGCAGCAGACATCGACTCTGCAACAGCAAAGAAAACCTGGAAGCCTGTAGCACCAACAAGGAGAGCGAGAGCGAGGCCGAGCAAAGCGCAGTGACGGACGGGGAGAATCTGACCCCTGATGCCAACACACAAGACACCTGGTCACTAGACGCCTCCAGCAACGACTGCGATGTCATTATGGTGAATGGACTAGGACAGGACAGCAGTCAGAGCAATGGACATTCAGAGGTCAGCGCCGATCTGGACACCCCTCACCAAAGAAATGACATCTGCCTGGAGTCCCTGTATAATTTATATGCAATCTCAGTAAGTGATTCTTGTGTTGCGCGTTTCATTATGGAAGATGTGCCTTGGCAAATTGGTAAACAAGCCTCTCTGTTTTGCTTTCAGTGCCATTCGGGAATAATGGGAGGGGGGCACTATGTGACTTATGCCAAAAACCCCAACGAAAAATGGTACTGTTACAATGACAGCAGCTGCAAGGTGAGATCTCAGCTTCTGTGACACTTTACACGTTTCCATTATTTGAGTCTTTTACTGAGCAGAGGTGGAATCAGTTTCTGCAAATATGGAAAATGCTTAGATGGCAAAGTTTGTCAAAGTATTGAGACTTTGGTTTTGAAGTTGAAGCTAAAATAATTGACAATGCAGCCTTTTTACTTGATCTATTGTAGCAATTAATCTAGTTAATCAACCTGAGCAACCTAATTTGGTACTCACAGTTTGGTTCGGTTATGATTATCATGCTGTCGATTAAGTTTGTAGGGATATTTTACAGTTTAAACCCAAAGAATGAGCAGTCTGTCAGATGATGAAAATAAATAATTTATTTGTGATTATTTTCTCAAGCTTTAACAAAACCTTGATTTGTACAATCAAGGTTGTAATTTCCCCCAACCCCTTGAACCTTTCCGCCAAAATGAATTAGCAAATAATAGAAATTAAAATATAATTACAACAGGAAAAGATAAAAATATAGCAAAATTGAAAATATTAATAATAATAACGATAATAATAATAATAATAATATCAATAATAATAATAATAAATAAATAAAAATAATACAATAAGTTTAAATATATATATATATATATAAAATAAAAAATAAACTTTACAGTATTTTATGTATTTACAATTATACAATATCAAATGTGAAAATAATTTAAAAAAAAGAATTACCTACAGTACATAATAATACAAATTAATAATCCGATACATTTATAGTGGTCTTCTACATAAACATGAAAGAAAACCATATTGGTGATCACAATTAAACCTGTTTGCACAGATTTTTTCATATAAATCAGTTAAAGGAGAGAGTCTTTCTTTTTCAAAATATGTGATCATAGGTTGCCATGTCTCATACATTTTTGGACAGATCCCTTCATTAAATGTTTAATTTTCTCTAATTCCAAATAGAAAATCAGAACACACAAGCTGCTGATTTCCATCAAGTAGTATTCTTCTCCTTGGTAACAAAGTAGCGAAGGCCATACAATTTTTTTTTCCTTGTTTGTCAACGATATTTTGTGTTCTGGTACACCAAAAATAGCTAACTCAATGCCAGGTTTTATTTCTAAATTAAAGGCATAATTTAATGGTATTTAAAAATTTGTGCCCAATAGTCATTCAACATTTGACAAGCCCAGAACATATAGAAAAAGTCTGCCTTGTCACTTTTACATCGATCACACACCTCGTCAGTCATCGTGGTGCACTGATGATGCTTTCCATAAACAATTTGATATTTTACTTAGCAACACAATAATTATTGTATTATAATGTATAAATATAGTTATATTTATATATTAATTGTAATAAAATTTTGTCATTTAATTTATGTATTGTACCTTTAATTTTACCTGCTCAAAGAAAACACTCTTTTTCAATGTATCAAACAAAACTAAGATACATGCACAGAACAGTATGAGCATTTATAGCAAATAGAGAAATAAATATTATCCAGCTTCCTTTTTGAGCGTTGTTCACTCTTAAACACCTATGATTGATCCCACGCTCAACAGCAAAGGCTGCGATTGGCACTGTTCAGCAAACAGTGACACGGACATGGATGATAAATGGATGTGGCGATCAGCTGATCCATTACAGACGTCAATGTGGTGGAGAAAACCCGCTCTGCAGACACGCTTGTGTCTGGATCCACAAGTAACGTTATATTTTTGTGACAGCCGAGACAGGAGATAAAACGTTACCTCACAAGCACACTAGTAGGACAAAGTGGCCACAGAGAGTGAGAGAGAGCTGGGATCCGTTGTAGTTGGCAATATTTTTCATGAATTTACATGTTTTATTTTCAATTTCTAAAGATGTTCTGTGACTAAAATATTTTTTTATAATATTTTTTAATTAATATATCTGTTTAATAAATCTATTATGTTTAAATGCACCGTGGATAAAAATATTCATTTTCAAAATAGAGTATACTTATTTATGCTGAGCACCGTATTTCTACTTTTACTCCACTGTTTTCCTTTAAACTGCAGTCATTATCATTTTTCTTGACTATGGGGATTGGCTGAGTAGAAAAATGACTCCTGTGATTTTTATCCAATTAAATCACAAATAGAAAAATCACAACATACTGAACAACCTCAAAACGTGGGCGGTTTAAAAATGAGCAAACCGTTTGGAAGCATTACAAAAAGTGTCCAAGAAGATGTCCTAAATCTTTACACGCAATGACTGTTTAGACTGCATGTCACTGATGAGAATATGATGGATGTTTGTTACTGAATGATGACTGAAATCGCCAAATTGCCTTAAACAATAGCTAAATGCACTACAGAATGTTACGTTTTTACACAAATAAACACATCAACACATCAACCTTTCACAGCGTAATACTCACTACTCTTGAGTACTTTTAAAAGGGCTACTTTTTACTCATAATTTTGTAATATTTACAACAGATACTTTCACTCCACTTGCAGTACATTTTGGGGCAAGTAATGGTTCTTTTACCATTTGGTACTTTCCACCACTGTCCATTAGTTAATGCTAGTTAATCTATTTACCAACATTAACAAATAATTGGTCACACATTTATTACGGTATTCATTCATCTTTGTTAACGTTAGTTAACATTATTTAGGCTAAATAATATTAGTTCATGTTGACTCTGTATTGACTAATGTTACAGAGCACAACTTTGACTTGGAATAATGAATTAGCTGGGCTCACAAAATCTTGTAGCCTTAAGTCCCAGGGCTATTGTTTTTTCAGTCAGGCTACCAAAAGCTATCTAAACCTTGCCTGGCAGACTATCAAGATAACACACCAGGCACTGTGTCGATAGCTGTTGGTAGCCCAACAAAAAAAAAAAACCAATAGCATCAGGACTTCGGGCTACCAGATTTTGTGAGCCCTGATTATTTAATGTTGAACTGTAATTAATGAATGCTTTGCAAGATTATTCATGCATAGTTAATGCTAGTAAATACATTAACTAATGTACCATTGTTCTAAAGTATTATCATAAAATCTAATAAAACATTCACTATACGTGTTGTGGAACCAAAATTAGAATTTACATATAAGAAAATTGCATTTCATTGGTTTAAAAAAAAAAATACAGGAAAAATTTGTATTCATGACCTTAAAAAAGTAATACTAAATACAAATACAATATTATATAAAATAGTGCTCAGTGATATTATATTTGCTCTATATCTAAATATCACTCAGATTATAATAATAAAGATTAAAGCAAATCAATGTATTATTATATGAAATTGAAATGTTGTTTTTGATGACGGGGTACTTTAGCATTAAAACTGAAATGATCTTTATTAATGAGCCAACATTATTAACATTATTTATGTTCCTGGAGTTTGAAAAAAACACACTTGCACAAAGAAATGAAAAGGATTTTAAAAAATGAGTGTTTTCATTATAAACATTGTTGTTTTAAATCAGAATTTTCAGTCTTGAAATTTGCCCTCTAAAAAGTCACCGACTAAATGTTTTGTGCAAAACTTAAAACAAATTGTTTGTCATCATCTTTTCAGGAAGTGCACTCGGACGAGATTGACACAGATTCAGCCTACATCCTGTTTTATGAGCAACAGGGAGTGGACTACTCGCAGTTTCTGCCAAAAACGGAGGGCAAGAAGATGGCAGACACCACTAGCATGGATGAAGACTTTGAATCTGACTACAAGAAGTACTGTGTGCTGCAGTGACACCACATGAAGCTCTTCCACATGAAAGACACTAGAGGGGTCTGTCAGTATGCTGTACGCCTCGCCGCCCCACAGGACCGCCATTTGTGAAAGCACAAAATATCAGTTAGCCGACAGGCACGACACCGCCGCTGACTGCGCTTTCAAAATAGAGGTACCTGACACTGCAGATACACCAGGGAGAAGGCCAACGAGTGACAACTGTAGCTCACCATCACGTGATTGTTGCCAAGCAGACAAAAAAATATCTCCTAGCCAATTCCTCCATATCAGCAGACAGACAGACCAAACTGCTCTTTCACATGCCAACCCACACAGGTGAATCCAAAAATCAAACACTGCTCAATTTCAGAATGCTGATGGAGAAAACAGGTCCTTTTTAATTCGAAAATGGTTGGTATGAATGATACGTTTCTCTCAAGGTTTTGTTGGTTAATTCCTTTTTTTTTACGGTGACCGAAAGACGTTAACGCTCTGGAATTTAAGAAAACACATGCATATACAAAAAACACTAGCAAATTAAGAAACGATCTTCATCAGTTTGACAGCACACGTGTTGCAAATTCCCACAGTGCAAACCACTGAATAAACGCACTGCATTTTGTCACAACACAAACAACTGAATTAACGCACTGCATTTTGTCACAACACAAACAACTGAAGAAACGCGCTGCATTTTGTCACAACGCTTACAAATATCCATGTAACATAACGAAAATGTTTCAAGGGGACCCAAAAACATGACGGACTCTGCTGAGATATGGATGTGGTATTATGCTGTGACTGTTGCTCAGTCAAGTTGTCGGTGGTCTTTGAAATATTGGAATTTTTTTGTTTGATTGCTATATTCCATTGTCTTTTGCACTTAAACTTAAACGTTGCGTTATTAAAGTTGTTTGCGTAGTGACAAAATAGAGCGCGTTTCTTTAGTTGTTTGTGTTGTGACAAAATGCAACACGTTTCTGCAATTGATTGCATTGTGAGAATTTGCAACACGTGCGCTGGCAAACAGATGAAGATCGTTTCTTAATTTGCTGGTGTGTTTTTGTAATCTCATGTGTTTTCTAAAATTCCAGCGTGTTTAGCTTTCTCAGCCACCATACTTTTTCCATAAGTTCCATACACTACCTCACATCTTTCATAATTTATTGGCCAACTGTTCATATAAAAAATCAATGACAGTATTATATCATCCGAGGGCAGTTGAAATCATTTACTTTAATTAAATTGTCATCAAGAAAGATTTCTTCCAACCAATTGAACTATCCTCCCTCTCCTCTGCTGCCAAATGATGCTATTTTTGTTGTTTTAGACCTTATTTAAAATGGTTATTTCCAGATTTTGATTCTCTTTAGAAGAGTATATGTAAATCTTTTTTCTTTTAAATTTTTTATATGTTTATTTTATCTTTTTTTTTTTTAAATGCAGTAGTTCACTTTGCCTAAACGCGTTCGCTTTCAGCTTTAGTCTGACCAAACCATGTCCTTTCAACAAAAGCGCAGCTTTTCACACGTTTTCTTATTACCACTGTACGTTCTTGCTTCACAAAATACTGTTGACCGCAGACAGAGACTAAAAACAGCTAGCGGAAACATATCTTATGGATGAGACTCCACATGTCCAAGCCAAAGTGTTGAACCGGTCATGTACATAGTTTGTGGCAAGCTTCGAAAGCCGTTAGATGAGAGCGTCTGTCGCGTGAACAGTATTAGCACAGGAATCTTTCACACGCTTTGCTTTTAGAGAACAGCATTCTCGCTAAACTGCTGACGGTTGGGGATGTCTGTGGCTGCTCCAGGTTATTAGTAGCATTTCTTCAGTGACTCTTGCTGAAAGAGCCCACCTTAATTACCACTGTGAAAAGATGAAATCTGAAATACTGAATGGCTCTTATTTTTCAGCGACCCATCAACCCAACGAGCTCCTCCTGCGAGGGGACGTTAAACCTTTCAGAAATCATCGGGAATCATTCAAAAGCACCCATTTTGCTGCTGTACTCTTCATGGATATTCTAAATATTTGCCATCAAATAAAGGTGTATCCCTGTCGGAAAAAAAGAAATGAAGTAAACACACAGCTGTATTAATCAACTGTCAACATTTTTAGGTGTTTTAACGTTTAAAGAAAAAGAGAGATCCAAATTCAAAGCTTCAACTGAAAATTGGCCGAATGGGGTTTTAAACATTGGCTTTTTTTGATACAGGGATAATTTATTCAAATGGCAAAATGATCTCTTTTCCAAGTAGTGCAATCAACTACTGATACGTGTGTCTTCGTCCATGTCGTTAGTCCTAATTTCTGTTAAATTAATTTTGATGCTAGAGATGTATTAATTTAATGAACTTTATTTTGTAAAGTGTTGTTTAAAGAAAAACCGATTGACATTGCACTGACAAATGTACATAAATGTTTTGTAAATACGCCAATGAAAACGATGATGTATTTGAAAATGAACTGTACAAATGTACTTGTAGTTGTATATGGAGTGACGACGTTGATCTGTAACAATTATTCAAGAAACGAATTAAATGCAGCCAAATGCGAGTCTGTTGTCTTGTGCGTTTACTGAATGATGCGAGGTGTTTCCTTCAACAGAAGCAAAAGGAAACCACACACCTCCTCCTCCTGCGGGCCCTGTAGAACGTCCAGTGCCATCACACAGGCCTATTTCCTTGAAGTCAAGCCACATTTGACATTTAAACTAACCTAAGGTGGGACCCTTCCACTCGCTTTACCATATTTTCCATGTGAATATTTCCCTTGAATGAAATATACAAATGATTTAGTGAGAATCGCCTCAGAATTGTTGTGCGCTTTTTGGGCCGCAAAGAGAGTTTTTTTTAAAGCATGTGCAGCCAGGAAGTGTATGCTGTTCTACTTTTAGAGTGCTATAAACCACAAGTGCTGAAGAATTGTGGCTTGTTGTGCTAAACAGCACCTCAGCCTCAGTGGTCTTCATGCATGCTTGTGTATTGTTCTTCTTGTTCAGAAGAAGGTTGAACGATGGTTCATGTTGCATAATGAGCTCAACCTGCCAGGGAGCTTTTTCTGGTCTTTTTCTGATCACAGAAGATGTTTGCTATTTTAAATTTTGCATGTGAATGTATGAGGAGACAGTGACTGGTTGATCTTTAAGGTATGTATTGTGTGTTTAATTAGAATTTTGAAGAGGCTGTGCGAATTTGAATGGACAATGTTTTTCCTGTGCCTTTTTCTCTTTTAGTTCTGCTAAAAAGTCTCTCAGATGACTAAAACGTGATGCTCTCAGTATCATTATGGGAGATATTAAAGGTAGGTTTAGCTTACAAATTTTTTACACTTGAAGGAATTTTTGTGTGTTTTTTTATATATATATATATATATATATATATATATATATATATATATATATATATATATATATATATATTTTTTTTTTTTTGTGTGTGTGTGTGTGTGTGTGTGTGTGTGTGTGTGTGTTTTATGTGTGCGTGTACAGTTTAGGACAAAATTATTAGCCCTCATGTAAAATATTTCAAATATTTCCTAAGTAATGTTTAACAGAGCAATTTTTTTTCTTTAAATAAATAAAAAAACACTTTCTTACAAAACATTTCAAACATTTTTAAAAAGGTTAATACTTTGTCAGCCCCCTAAGATTTTTTTTTTCTTCTATTATCTACAGAACAAACCATTGTTGTCAAATTACTTGCCTAATTAAGCTAAATTGCCTGGTTAAACCTAGTTAAGCCTTTAAATTGTACGTTAAGCTCAATACTTGCAAAATACTTGTAAAATATTACACTTTATTATACCAAAAACAAAACAAATAATTGATTAGAAATTTGTTATGAAAATGATTGTTTAAAACTGTGTTTTTTATATTTAAAAATCTGTTAAACATCACTTGAGAAATTATTGAAAAAAAGACCTACGATTTTAAAGGAAGGCTAATAATTTTGTCTTTAACGGCTTGTCTTTAACGGTATACAGAGAGAGAGCTGTATCATGTAAGTTCATTTATATATTTAACATATAAATAGTTTAGATGCAAAAACCTCAAAATGCCATTTGATGTTTATTTCTAAAATTAGCATTTTTCTCCTGTGTGTAGGGCTTAGTCGTTTTACTTTTACAGTGACGAATTAAATTCTTTTCATTGTCTTTAATGTGAAATAACTGAACGTAAACATAGAAGGCTGACACACATGCTAATTTTAGGAGAAAATTTCACACAGCATTTAGAGGTTTTTGCATCTGAGCTCTTCATATGTACATAACTATATTAAGCAATAGTTTAGTTTAGTATAAGGCTAGCGAATCGTGGTGAATTACACAAACGTTTATGTGAATAGAGAGAGAGACAGATCATTTTTATATTTAAATCTTATGTATATATAACATATAAAATGTTTTGCTTCGTGAGCATTGGATATTTGTTGTTTGTGTCTATCTAAAAACTTGCTGTTTTTTATTTCACTTCGATCATATGAAATTCTCCCCGCCTGCACAGATCCTGGATTCATAATTCTAATCAGCGTCTATGGTGTTACCGTTTTCTTCATGGCTGTACTTGGGTTCCTCTGCTTTCACAAGTATATTTAACTTTATTATAACACACATTTTGATGCGTAAAAATTTTTTGTGTGAATATTAAACTGTAGATTAATATAGTGTAATTAAGAGAGCACAAGAAAATTCTCATGATTAATAATTAATAATTGTGTGTCAAAATAACAAAAACGTGATGTTTTCAGATAAGTGAAAATATCAGTGTTTGGTGGACTAATGGTGAAATAAAAAAGTATTGTCATTTATAATGTTTCATGTTAAATTTGGAATATTATCAGACCTTTAAATGAACAGAAAACAAATATTAACGTTTTACAGACAGCTAGTAAAGCTGCACAGTAAATACAGAGATACTGAGAATTGTCAAGAGGTCTCTAAGTTTTTCCATAGTTGTGTGTGTGTATATACTGTGTCTGTAAAAGAGTTAATTTGCTAAAACACAACCACTGTTTCAGAAATGTAGTTTTGCAATTGATGTTTTGCTTCTCAATACAAAATATAAAAACATGATTTCTGAAAATGACCTAAAATGCTGCTATCTGTTTTGCAAATGAAGTCATTGTATTTTTCTACAGTAGTATAAAAATGAGCAGATACTACCATTACAGCATTTTCATCAATACGTTAACTAGTAATATGTATAAAATAAAACAATATTTTTAATACATTAAGTCTCTGTTTCCTCCGCAGATATCGGTCATTGAAGAAGACCATAAGGGACCTGAAGCAGGGGAGGCCGACTGTGATCCCTCGAGCAGCTTCTCATGATTCTTCACCTCCGTCCCCAAATGTCCTGACTCTTCCAGAGGCACCAGAGCCAATCGCAGAGAGCCCGTTACAAAGACAACAAACCAAATCCAGCTGCAAGTTTCCTTGGAAGACTTCACAACAGGTTTTAACTGTGCTCATTTTTAAATCTTTCAATTCAATTCATCTTAGTGCGTTTACAATGTAGATTGTGGCTTAACATAGAAGTTCTTGCAAAATTGAAGTTGAAACTGTGTCAGTCCAGTTTTCAGAGTTGAAGTTCAGTTTAGTTCAATTCAGTGTGGTTTAGTTTCACTGCTGAAAGTTCAAACACTGAAGAGCAAATCCATTGATGATTTTTAACTGGATATATTTTGTACTTACATAATGTACAGTTGAAGTCAGAATTATTAGCCCTCCTGTATATGTTTCCCAGAAAGATATGTTAAACGGAAAGATTTCTAAATATTATAGTTTTCAAGAGTTTGCCCTTAGCTGAAGATTGATTATGAAGCTAGTTTGGTATGCTGTTCCGGGAGAGTGCCCTGAACTCGTGAGGTCCTCGAGCCCAGGGCTCCCTCCCATTGCCATGTAGATTGATCCTGTGAAGGTGCTGTCAATTTAGATTTGTCCAATTGCTTATGTTACATGTTTTTTGGTCTGTGGGAGGAAACCGGAGAGCCCGGTGAAAACCCTTGCAAACACGAGGAGAACATGCAAACTCCGCACAGAAATGCCGACCTAGCCAGGAAGTGTCCGAGCCGGTGACATTCTTGCTGTGCGGCCGTGGTGCTAACCACTAGGCCTCTGTGCTGCCCTGACAAGGAAATGGGAGGAGTAGGGGTGGAAGGGGGGATTCTTCAAGATGAAGATGGCTGAATTAAGATACTCTGGTTATTTATAGTGATTAAAGAGTTGTCTGATTGGGAAATCAGTGTTAGCTTATGTGGACCAGGTGCTATCAGTCATAAGCACGTGCTCCTCTCGAAATTAGTTTATAAATAAACTTCACTTAATAGCTCATTTCTAATAACTGATTTATTTTATTGTTGTCATGATGACAGTAAATAATATTTGACTAGATATTTTCAAGACAATTTTATACAGCTTAAAGTGACATTTAAAGTAACTGTATAATGACGGTTTGTTCTTTAGACTATCGAGAAAAAATAGCTTAAAGCAGCTAATAATTTTGACCTTAAATGGTTTTTAAAATATTAAAAACTGCTTTTATTCTAGCCGAAATAAAACAAATAAGACTTTCTCTAGAAGAAAAAATATTATAGAAAATACTGTCAAAGTTTTTTTGCTTTGTTAAACATAATTCAGGAAACAATTAAAAAAGGAAGGAGGGCTAATAATTTTGACTTCAACTGTATATGTGATGCAGATAATGACTATACATGATGAATTTGCTCTAAAGAATGTAATTATCATCACTCTAATAGGAATTTAAATGTATTTTTTAAATGCTCAAACAACGTTACATGATTTTCTTTAGGTTCCACGGTTCACAAAAGAAGACCTGAACCTTATTCAGCTTATAAAAGCTGGCAGAGAAGGAGTTTTTTACAAAGCAAGGATAATAAGAGGCACTTGCAGAGGCCACTCGCTGATTACGTGCAAAATTGGAAAAGAAGGTAAAACTGAATGCACTCAAATAATTCAAAATATGATCGTCTTTTGAGCTGTTGTTTTAGATGCGCTGTCATTTGCAGGTATGACGTCTAAACAGATGGAACATGAGGCGTCTATTATGAGAAAGCTGGCGTATCATAAAAATGTGATGCAGCTGCTGGACTGGAATACGGCGGAGGGTAAGTCAAGCATTTTGTATTTCAGCATTACACGACTCTTATAATCTTTAAATGCTAAAGAGGAACTACCAAACTAGTTGGTAGTGTTCTGAGTGTGCATTTAGCACAATGTGTTGTGGTTTTAAAGGTGTGAACTGTGACAGTCTGTTTCTTTAATAGGCCACTCGATTTGAGGCTTTTTTATGTCCTTAGCAAAGTGTTGCCTGCTGAAGTGTACTAATATATAGTTAAATCAAAGATTGTGGTGGCTTTTTTTTCTTATGTAGAACAATTAAAGATGATTTAGCTGAATCCATGGTCATTGGCGATTCATGTAATGCGAGTTAATGATCACTCTTTTTGAGATTTCAAAATCCTTGGATACAAACTAGTCCAAATCAATCCATGTGTGTGCCTTCAGATGATGTCTTTTAAAGGGAAATGATAAGTCTGTGCAAGAGATTAAACAATATTTACTGAATTTTCAGCATTGATTCACAGCCTGGGCGAACAGTTTTCGGTGTGCACAAAAGTGTAGTGTGATCGTTGACTTGCATTATACCAATCGCCTAGGACTACAGATACTATAAAAGGTTATGTTCATACTAAATAAGACCTTCTTAATTCACAACATACATACACGATTTATTTGTTTAAGATTATTTTTAAACAATTTTAAGAGATTAGATATTCTTTTATGTTAAGGCGATTATGTTCAATTTTTATGGAATAATGCAATGTTTACTTTAAATGTTTAGCTCTTCATATCTTTATTTTTGAAATTCCTGAATAATTAAATGAGCATCACCCACCTCTTTAAGAACATCTCTTCTCTGATGACGTGTTTATTAATGTGAAGGCGGGACAACAAAATGTCACTCAAATGAGATCCAAAGCACAACCATCCAATCAGTTTCCTGATGGAAAATCTCATGTCCTACTCTACTTTTGTTTTCTTGTTTGAGAAGCTATTTTACTCACAACATACAGTATGTCACAATCTGCTTATATTGAGATTATATGGAATCCTGATTCCAGCCTCTACTCGTTTTAATTGAGAAAAATAATAGCCATTTATGACAACTTTTTAGTTGTATCACACATCAAAGCTTTTTTTTTTGTTGTTGTAATATTATAATGAATTGTAAACAATGGATTACAGTCTGGCTAAGATTAGGCACTGGTTTAAACATTATTATCATAACTTTCAATAGTATTTCAGCAAATTATGAGCGAATATTAGTAGTACTTACTGTTCACTTTTGGCATCTGATAAAACATTTGGACCCAAATACTGTGAAGGGTCACTTCAGATTTAATGGGATAGTTCACCCTAAAATCAAAATTCTGTCATTTACTCACTCTTTAATGTCCCAAACCAGATTGAATTATTTTGTTCTGTTAAGCACAAAGTAAAGTTTTACAAACTAATTTTGAGAGAAGCATGTTATGTGATTGATTGCGGCTGGTCTCTCATCTGTATTCAGCAATAATCCAATCTGATTGATCCAAGCCTAGAATAAAAAGACTGATTTTAGCCCTACTTTCTCATTTTCGTTTTGGAAGAAACACCCCTTCCACCCCATCTCCTCCTTTTCCTCCTTTACCAGGGGGAGCTCTCAAGACTTACCTGATCTCAGATCCCCTTGCATGCTGCACATCGATATATTTGCTCTTCAGTGTTTAGACTTTCAGCAGTGAAAATTAAACCATGTGAACTGAACTAATCTAAACTGAACTTTAACTCTGAGAACTGGACTGACACTGTTTCAATTTACTATAATCTTCTATTTTTAGCTGCTTTGACACAATCTACACTGTAAAAGTTCTAAATAAATAAATAAATAACAACAACATGATAATTGTTCAGACGGGAGCCTTGGGCTCAATTATTTCCAAGCTCAGGGTTTTCTCCTGGGACAGCATGTCAAACCTTCTAATACCGTCAAGCAATATCTAAGTGTGAACTCTTGAAAAATTACATTAAGAAGAATTTGGAAACTTGTAACAATTGACCATAGTGTTTGTTTTTTCCTAACAGGTTTGCAAAATTATTCTTATTATTCTTATCTTTTGCGAACAAAAAGTAAATGATGACAGAATTAAAATTTTTGAGTGAATTATCCCTTTAACAAGCGGACTGCTGCATCTTACAAAAAACTAAATAAAGTGGTTGTTTGTCTGTGTGTTTTTTCAGAGCCGTATTTGCTGATCATGGAGTTCATGAGCTACGGGACTCTTCGCACATTTGTTCAGAAACACAAAGATGAACTAAGTGCAGACCCAGAATTGCAACGCCATTTCACGATTGCGTCCTACCACATCGCCATGGGCATGGAGCACTTACGCTCCAAAATGGTACTGCAAACTGCCACAGTACCAAAAAAAATTCTTAATGTGCATTCACCATAAACACAAATGAAAAATGAATGATATTGGATGATCTCTGCGCATCATTTAGGTGGTGCACTGTGACCTTGCATTAAGGAACATTTTGGTGGGTCGGTTTCCATGGGAGACGAAGGTGGCTGAGTTCGGCTTGGCCAGAGACTTGACCCGCATGAGGAGCAGACGCAGCAGCAGGAAAAAACAACACAAGGTGAACTAATCATACTTAATTAATTAATTCAACATCAACTCTGATTACTGAAAATCCTGAAATGTTCAGACAACTCAAAGCATTCGTGTAAACAAATAAAAACATTTTGTCTGTGTGAAATCATAATTTACAATGTTACAATTTTGCTAGCACACAAGGTTATTCTTTAGGTGAACAATGGAGTATATTCACAGCTAGTGTTTTACAGCCAACGATAAACTTCCAGTGAAATATTTTTGTGACTATTTTCAATTTCATAAGGTTCCTTTTATAGCATCGACATCATAATGTAATTACAATACAATCCATTAAATGAGCATTCGTTTAGTTGTTTAAGCATAAAATTAGATGAAAGACTGTGTAAACACAAGTGCTGTCAGTAGCAGAAGACTAGCTCAGAAATTCCATTGAAAATACTGGGGTCATAAATTTACATATTTTAAAAACATAACAGGGAACAATGGAATCTAATGCAGTGCTTCATGTTCGGTCTGATACCCACTTTATATCAAATATCATTCAGGCATTATTTTTAAAAGAAATCAGATCTTAAACGTGCCGATTTTGTCTTGTCGCTATTTTGTCTTGCATATACCCCATTAATCCATGGAATTTAATTCACTTGTAATCTTCAATCAATTCAATCAATGGCCATTTGCTTCCGCATTTGGAGTGGCGGTCCTTCTCTTTTAGTAATTTGTGCAGTTTGTTTCCATAAACGTCACTTAAACTCCAATCTATATGATTAAGTGTTAGTTAGCAATAGCATGTGTTAATATATCTATAAAAGAGACTATTTTATGCACTTGCATGATTATAGTTGTGGATCATGCAGTATATTCAGCTTCAAAGTTTTGTCAACTCATCCTCAATCTTCATTCACTCTTCACAGCAATGGTAAGTCTACAAATTACAACATAATAGAAGAAAAAAAAATGTAACTTTAAAAAAAAATGACTGACTAATTTATGTCTTCTTTTGTTAATCTTGTGCAAAAACAGCAAGAATAGCACTTAATTTCAAGACTTACTTTCCTGATGCAAAGAAATCTACATTTTAAATTCACCTGAATATAATAACGTAACTTGTTTCTGTGAATGTGATTTCAGGAGCGTGTGCCCCTGCGCTGGTACCCTCCAGAATACTTCCGGAGCAACTACTACAGCTTTAAAGGAGACGTCTGGGCTTATGGTATTGTGCTGTGGGAAATGCAGATGTTCGGTGAGAAATACTGTACTTGTGAGATTTGGTTGATTTGTTGAATCGTTTTGATGAACGTGTTATAGATATTGGATTTTATGTTTCACAGGCACCTTGCCATACTCAAACTTAAGCACGTCTGAGGAAGTGGTGTACAATATCTGTGCTGGACTAAAGAACCCAATCCCCAGAACCTGCCGTCCTGAAATGTAAGTCATACACAATCAAGTCCATTTTGTAGAAAAACGTGTATAATAAAATATTGTATACATTAAAAAATGTTTGAAATATATCTTGAAAAGGCAGCACGGTGGCTCAGTGGTTAGCACTGTCGCCTCAAAGCAAGAAGGTCGCTGGTTTGAGTTCCGGCTTAGTCCATTGGCATATCTGTGTGGAGTTTGCATGTTCTCCCCGTGTTCGTGTGATAATTTCAGGTCAACAGCACTCTTAGAAATATGTTTCCTGAAAAAAGTGATGTTGAATGCTTATTACCCCCACTGTAAAATGCAGAGAACTGAGTGGATGTAGTATCAGAATTGTAACAAAGCTGCAGCTTCCACTGCAACGTCCTAGACACTGCCAGTATTTTTAAACTTGGTGCTTTTGTGTTTTATATCTTATAACGTAGGGAACAGATCATACGGGACTGCTGGTCGGATCCATACACATCTAGACCTTCATTTACAGACATTGTCAAGATCCTGGAGAATATCGTGGAGAGCGATGGGGTGAGGCATATTCATCTTTGATCCACTCGTCACTCTTTACCTTTGTCCTGCAGATAAGTGATTAAACATTACTAATGTGTTGCAGGATTACGTGCACATCGACAACCAAATGATCTTGAATGCAGAAGGGATTAATTAAGCAAAACAACACATCGTTCTGAACATCAAAAATCTCATTCTTTGTATGCAGGCATACTTTTTGTTTAACAATGTTTGCAGTTAAGAATTTAATTGTATGTAACGCTAACAGCCAAAAGGCAGTATTATTGACGCGAGTCATTTTATAAAAAATTTCTTCTAAATAAAGTCAGTGTTTTATTGTGATTAATTTGCTTTATTTTAACACCATGTAATTTAATAAAAATATATTTTTAATTAAGCTTCTATTTAAAGTTAAGTGTTATAAGTTAATTTTATATTAATATATTAAGATAATTTTATAAATATGTTAAAAAAAAATTTTAAAAACACTTTAGCTTAAATGTGCATGTTTTGGCTACTTTCTGAAATAACAAGTTACTATAATCATTACTATTGTAAATGCTTAAGGGATGTTCTACCAGAAACCTACTTTTTCACTTATTAAAAATGTAACAGGGCCTGACTTAAGCTTGTCGTCTTCAAAAAATCATACAAAAACAAGCATGTAATCATACAATTCAATAATAGAAGGCATCCTTGATCACTGTCAGCTTCACCTCCATCAAATGACGTCACTTCTGAGTCATAGCCTTAAAGTGTATCGCACACATTTTATGGTGAATTTAATGCAAATGTGACTGGACTGACAGAACATGGAGACAATTGTAAATTTATTTGTATTATATATATATATATATATATATATATATATTTGTAGAATTGATTTAAAATGTGATGTTTAATCAATTAATGTGAATTAGAACAACTTAAACTTGCTATTTCTATATTTTTTCTAAAATACAGTTTCTATCATAACAAAAACTTCTAAAGCTGTTGGTTCAATTGGGCTGAGGAAAAGGACAATGACAGGGTTTGTACATTTGTAAAGTGTTTTTAATAAAGAACAAAAATCTGAGAACCAAATGAATGACTTATTACTTTACAGAACAACTCACAGAAATCAACCATCAGGCCATTTTAGACATTTTTGGGATGAAATACATTTTATTCACTGTATTTTTGTTTTGTTTTTATGGACAGAAAATGTATGTTTCTGGTAGAATTTCCTTAATAATTGAATTTATGATTAAATAATGACATTATTTTATTTGAAATTTGCAAGCAAATTTGGTTACATTTCATTTTAAGGTACAATCCTCACTAATATCAAACTAATAACTATGGCTTTTGCCTCAATAAACTCCTAATTTGCTAATTCTTAATAGTTATTAAGGTAGTAGGGTTTAGGTGTTGGGTAGGATTGGGGATGTAGAATAAAATCATGCATGCACAGTATGTACTTCATAGGTAAAAATAAACAGGCAATTTAATGATAGACAGATAACTTAATAAGCCATTGGTTAATAATGAGAAATTGGTCTGACTATTAACTAGTGGCTTATTAAGTTACCTGTCTATCATTAAATTGCCTGTTTATTTGTACTTATGAAGTACATTTACCCTATTTTATTTTAAATTTCAAAGTAAATTTGGTTACACTTCATTTTAAGTTACAATTATCGCTCTTAACTGACTACATTAACTATGACTTTTGCTTCAATGAACTCCTATTTTGCTGCTTGTAATAGTTATGAAATTAGTAAATGTGCTTCAGTATTAAGTAGGGTTAGGGATGTAGAATATCTGTACTTCATACGTATAAATAAACAGCCAATTTAATAATAGTTGGGTAATTTAATCCACTAACTTAACTTAAGCCTCTAGTTAATAGTGAGAAAATGGTCTTTAGGCTAAAGTGTTATCGTAAATGTGTTTAAATGTTTATAGAATAAAACAAATATGAGTCTAATGAACAATACAGAACCTTACCTTACCTAATAAATCCAGAGAAACGGACAAACTTCAAATGGCTGTATATTTAAATGTTTATTTTCTTCCTCATATGCTAACAATGATTTTACTTGAAACTAAAATGACTTAAACCAGGTTACATACACATTTATTTATTACTACTAAAATTCCATGACTTTTCCAAGACTTTTCCAGAACTTTCAAATACATTTTCATGACGTAATATTTCGTGTAATGTCTGCAAATACATGGTACAAAATAAGAAAAACAAAGACGTTCAAATTTATTACAGCATATCATAGAACACGGAACAGTCTATTTTGTTTGAATTTGTTTTCATATCTATGTAAAATTGATTTTGATGATGCTTACACAGCACAAACAATGTGAGAGCAATTTTTTGGCCAAGGACAGAAAATAAGGGCTGCACAACATATAATTTCAGCATCGATATCGACACAATAGTCACATCACAGGATATGAAATGTTGGGATTATAGTTTAATGTAGAGTTTAATCATAATGGAGTAAAAGTTTATCATCCGCATGCATTTTTAAACAGATAGTTTACCCAAACATGAAATACCATTTCCTTTACACCCTTCACTTCTTTCAAACATTTATGTTTTTTCTTTTTTTTAATGAACACAATAAGAATATAATTAAATAACTCCTGTAGTATTGAAACAATTGAAGTGTGATTAAATAGTATTTTAATCCTTGAGTAAACTGTCACTTTAAGGACCTGTGACTGTGAACATTTCAATATTTCAAATTTTAAAACATCCGGACACAGGAATTTTTTTGTAACTTTATTAAAGATTAAATAATATACAATGAAGACTATGCAGTGTTGATAATTCAATATCTGTACCTGAATAGTGAATACCTAAAAACTATAATTCACTTTTATCTTTACTATATTTTATTTATATTTGCTTGTAATTTGTTTGTTATATATTATTCGAGATTCACTCCTCTACAAAATCCCCCCAATCAATCCAAATAAACCTGTTAAATCATCTGGTGAAATTGTATTCACATCGCAATATATCACAAAAATACAAAATACCATAATGTCAGATTTTTCCAATATTGCACAGCCCCAATTCAAGTATCCAGATATTTGTTGAAGTAATTTCCATGACTTTTCTAAACCTTTGTGGGTTTTTCTGTTTTTCAAAACTTTTCCAGGCATGGAAAATGCCATGTCAAAATTCCATAACTTTTCCAGGACCGTATGAACCCTGTAAAACTATACTAAAAACTAAAATGCTTTTACATACCAAAAAAAAAGAAACAATGCTCATCACCGAACATCTATTATTTTGATGGTAAACAGTGGTTGCTGACATAGATGTATCTTTTTTTTTTTTTTTTTTTTAAAGAGCCCATATTATACATGAAATAGGGTCATATCTTGGTTGTAAGGGTCTCCAACAACAGTCTAATATGCATGCAAGGTCAAAAAACACTTTCATGGTCTTATAATCTGCATTTATTTTTACCTAATTATCCCAGCGACTCCTGTATGAATCGTCCAGTGATTCATTTGTTCCCAAACCCCTCCTTAGCGCGAAGCTAATCTGCGCTGATTGGACCGATGACAGTCTGTCACGATTGGTCGACTGCCTTCAGTCAGAGAATGAAATGCCCAATAGCTAATCAGCAATATAAAAGTAATCACAGTTCATACGCGCTCCACAGTGTAGGCGTGGATTTTAGCTGCCACACACACACACACACACACACACACCTCTGGACGACAACGCTCCCGCTTCCGCCCGCACCCGCCAGGTTTTAGCCTGAACCCGACCGCTCCCGCTTATATTTAGAATTTCTTGTCCCGGTGCCCGAACCGCCCCGTTTTCTGCCCGCCGCGCCCGATCCCGCTAAAGAGCGGGGGAGAACATAACCGAAAATCACCCAGCTAAACAGTCCAGAGACAGCCAGACAAAGCTCTCTCTCTCTCTCTCTCTCTCTCATACGCGCGCACTAACACATACACACAAGCGCCAAGCAGACACTCAGGCAGGCAAAGCTCTGTCTCATTCGCATAGCAATATCCACGATATTGCTAGAAAGCCCGCTCCCGTCCCAAATTAAACCTGTTACCGACCGCTCCCGCGATTGATTCGGAAATTTATTCCCGCGCCGCAGAAATCTGGCGCGGGGGCAGCCGCGGGAATGCAGACCTCTACCACGGAGCTCCGTAAACAAACAGCACGCGTCGCGTTTTTAACGTGACTTTGCACGCTATAAGAGAATATAGCCAGTTAACCTGATACAGTGCACGCGGTTACAGGTAACAAATCACAACTAAATACATTTGCAAGCTAGAGTCAACGAGGCAACTTTAATCGCACGTACTTACATTTGAGAAATGGAGGAAGAAACTCATCCTGACTTCCATCAGTAAGTTACACTTTACTGATCCTTACTTTAACAAACGCTGATGAAGTATTCTTTGTAGCCTGTAGTTTCCAGAAGTTTCCAACTGCTTGGTTATAATGCTGAGGTTTCATCTCTGGGTAGAGAATCGATAATGTCCATCTGCGGTGTGACTTCAATCGACCGGCATGTTTGTGTGCGTGTGTTTGTGGGTGTGTGTGTGTGTCTGGGTTTCTGCGTCAGAGGGCGGGGCCTCAGGTTTGAAATCTCCCGGGTTTGCGCGTGCACGTGAATAACTTGGTTTCGTTCGTACGTCATGGCGAAACACCTAATGAATCGGTATCAAGGCGACTCGTTTGAAGCACTATGAGTCGACTCTTTTATAGATGAATCAACCGTTTTAAACACTGTATTCTTACAGATTTAAGCCTTAGCTGGATACTTCACTTCACTTAGAGCTGTTACACACTACATGGAGGGGAATTTTCAAAAACCCATAATATGGGCTCTTTAAAGTCTAAACACTTTAGTAATATAGTGTACAACCAAGCACAAGTGGTCAGAATACAAACGAGTCACAGGTGATAAAGTATTAAGGTGCGTTCGACATGAAGCTCAGCTGCAGCCGGTGATCAACGAGATTAGCCGAGCGCAGGCGGGGCGGAGTTGAAAACGGAGCCGTCAAGACGGACAGCTGGACACTTCGGGACTCAAAGTTGCTGCAGTCATGATGACCGATCACATGGCGTCATCATATTTTTTTGTTATTTTTATTTATAACAACAAAACATTTACAAATAAAACAGAATACAGTCTCTACAAACTGTAGTTCCTTTTTAAACAATAAGGGAGAATTATGAATAAAATATATAACAAATGTATGAGAGAAATAAGAGGAAATGAGAGGTTAATATAAACATAAAAACGAACAGGTCTATTAAATACAAAGCAATAAGCATAAATTCTAGGAGTTAAACATCA